AAATTAGATTTCACCATCCCTGGGGGGGCTGCGATATGTGAAACTATCGCCACTTTCGAGGCCTGCTGGGGGGCCCAGCACAGTGACGCCACGGGCAGATTCAAATTAGACCTCGCCATCCCTGGGGGGGGCTGCGATCTGTGAAACCGTCGCCACTTTCGAGGCCTGCTGGGGGGCCCAGCACAGTGACGCCACGGCGGACCCAAATTAGACCTCGCCATCCCTGGGGGGCTGCGATCTGTGAAACTGTCGCCACTTTCGAGGCCTGCTGGGGGGCCCAGCACAGTGACGCCACGGGCGGACCCAAATTAGACCTCGCCATCCCTGGGGGGCTGCGATCTGTGAAACTGTCGCCACTTTCGAGGCCTGCTGGGGGGCCCAGCACAGTGACGCCACGGGCAGATTCAAATTAGACCTCGCCATCCCTGGGGGGGCTGCGATCTGTGAAACTGTCGCCACTTTCGAGGCCTGCTGGGGGGCCCAGCACAGTGACGCCACGGCGGACCCAAATTAGACCTCGCCATCCCTGGGGGGCTGCGATCTGTGAAACTGTCGCCACTTTCGAGGCCTGCTGGGGGGCCCAGCACAGTGACGCCACGGGCAGACCCAAATTAGACATCGCCATCCCTGGGGGGGGCTGCGATCTGTGAATTGTCGCCACTTTCGAGGCCTGCTGGGGGGCCCAGCACAGTGACGCCACGGGCAGACTCAAATTGGACCTCGCCATCCCTGGGGGGGGGGCTGCGATCTGTGAAACTGTCGCCATTTTCGAGGCCTGCTGGGGGGACCCAGCACAGTGACGCCACGGGCAGACTCAAATTAGACATCGCCATCCCTGGGGGGCTGCGATCTGTGAGACTGTCGCCACTTTCGAGGCCTGCTGGGGGGCCCAGCACAGTGACGCCACGGGCGGATTCAAATTAGACCTCGCCATCCCTGGGGGGCTGCGATCTGAGATCCCCGCTTTCGAAGTGACTAGGGGTGCTCAGGGATTGTAACTAATCAGCTTTATCTACCTTGTCCTGTAGCCAGTGTCCTTCGAGTCTCCCGAATTCCGTCTGCAGACATATGTAAAATTCGCTCCGTCATCGCCCCCTTCTAACGTGTCCTAAACTATTTGCGTCCTTCGTTTGCGCAGGGGTTGGGTACGTCGCCAAGGTAATTTGGTTTTTCAGGAGGCCCGACATGGCCTGGCCGAAAAGTGCGGACACCTGAAAACCAAAAAACACAACACACCTGTGTATAGTATGGTTTCGTGGTATCCCAAACCGAAAAGAACAAACCACATGTGTATAGTATGGTTTGGTGGGCAGTTGTGGTTTCCAAAGGATTCCTGCCGTGAGGCTTTCCAGTCGAATCCCTTTGCGGGTTTCCCAAAGGATGCCTGTTGTGCGGATTTCCCATAGGATCCCTGTGTTGTGCTTTCCAAAGGATTCCTGCTGTGAGGCGCTCCACTATATATATCCCTTTTTTGTTGCGTTTTCCAACGGATTCCTGTTGCGAGGCTTTCCCATTAAATCCCTTTGTGGTGCTTTCCAAATGATTCCTGTTGTGAGGCCTTCCAATAGAAACCCTCGCCATGCCCGGAGTATCTTGAGGATCTCTGAGCACCCTGCCTGGGAAGGCCCGAGCTGTAGCGGCGACGTGGTATGGAAGGGGGTGCAGAGGCGCAGAGGCAGCGTCGACGACGACGCACTTGCGGGCACGGCTGCGGTGGGGCACAGTAATGAAAGATCTGTCAGAGGCATGCGGAGATTTCGCGCACTCTGAGGACGCCAGATCACAAGCAGCGACAGGAGGCAGCGGGGGCATGCGCGGGCGGTTCATAGCAGCGGGGGCAGCGTTGGCCGCTGGCTGCCCCCACCTCGCCAGAGAGAGGCCCTGCCCCTCAGAACTTCGGGAGCGCGCCGCGCCTCAGTCGGCATCGCTATCAGGCTGCTCGGCCGCGCCACCACCAAGCTGTTCGGCGTCGCCACCAGGCTGATCGGCCTCGAGCATGGCCTCCACCCCTGCGTTCAAGTCGACGTCTCCGTCGTCAATCGCGATGGTTTCCCCATGCGCCTGCGACACGATCGACGCAAAGACCGCCTGCTGCTCCTGGAGGTCGACGGGCGAGAGCGGCCCGCCGCACGCCAAGCCCGTCTTCCTGGTCTTCCTGGGCGGGGTGACCAGGTCCTCGCGCGCGCGATGGTGGGTCTTGGCGAGGCAGTGGAAGATCGCCATCTGCTCGCGATGGTCCTCAGGGAGAGCGCCGTGGCAACCGACGATTGGGGGCTGCGCCTCGGGCGCGGCGTCAGCGGGCGCCGCCTCGCCATTCGGCGCACTCGCGCCCACGCTAGCCTGCCACGGCACAATCATGGCCTTGTTGGTCTCGGACTTGATGAGCTGCTCCACGCGGGCGTTCCGCGCCGCCGTCAGCCCTTCGGGCGGCGTCGGCTCGGTCGCGCCCATGCCGCCGCCGAAGCCGAACGCGTCCTCCTCGCCCGCGACGTCGGCGCCGACGCGGCGGCCGAACAAGTCGTCGTCCTCGGGCGCGGCCCCAAGGCCACCCGACTGGCCTGCCTCCCGCGGCGCCGCGGCGCCAGCTGGCGCGCCGCCCGCGGCGGCGGCGGTGGCGCCATCCCGCCGTCGCCGTGCGCGCCCGCTGCATCGCGCGCCTCGGCCATGAGCTTGAGCAGATCATTCTTCTCGAAGGCGAGGGGCCTGTCGTACTCCTCCTGGTCGCGGCGCTTCTTGTGCTTGAGGTGCCGCATCAAGATCTTGCCCGCTTCGGCCGCGATGCAGCTGCTCATGGGGGGCAGCTTCTCAACGACCGAGCCCTTGCCAGCGGGCCTGCAAGAGAACGAGCGCCGTGTGTTCAGGGCGACGTTGCACCGCTCGAGCATGGCCCCTAAGTTGCTCTCGGACATGCCCTTAGGGAAGGCGGGCCGAATCATGTCCACCGAGATGGCAGTGGTCCGCTTTGCAGCATCGGATGACGTCGCCGCGAGCCCCCACTCCTCGCCATTTGGTTCAGCGCTGGCATTGCATTCGTTGCCGCCGCCAAACCTGGGCAAAGACGAAGCGCGGGGCCGACCGGCGCGCAGGATTCGCTTCCCTGGGAAACACCAACAAACCCTGACAGCCAAACTAAAGAAACCTGGCTGGCCCCGACGCTTCGACTTCGCCAGCCGCCTCGCTTGGCCGCGCACGAACTTCGCGGCACCCCAGCGCGCGTAGGTCATGGCCTCAGCCTGCGTGGGGTCAAAGAAGGCCTTGAGGGCGCGGGGCCGCTGATCTGCGAGGTCGCCGTCATCGAAGATGCAGGGCGCCCGGGGCTCCCCGACCTCCCCGCGGAAGAAGTCCATCTCCGCGGAAACCCGAACAGCAGCCTTGGCGCGACCTGGGCGGCGTTCATTAGCGACGTCTGCATGGCGCCTCGCAGTCGCCACGGCGAGGACGCACATGAAGGGCGTCCTCCCGAAGCCAGCCTCCCCGATCGCAAGCAGCGCGTTGCCCATCAGCGTCTTCAAGATCCTGTCCGTCATCGGATGGTACTCCTTGCGGACGTCTGGCTTTAAGAGCGGGTCGTAGTCCCCCCTGGTCGCGAAATGGTCGCGGTCCGCGATGCACATCAGCAGGCTGTTCACGAACTCCCGCTTCATGTGGTAGATGGGGGAGTCAGGGCCCACGTGGTGGAACCCCAACCACAGGGCGCTCTGGCCGTCGAAATTGCCGCGGGGGGCCTCCGCCTGCACGAAATCCCACGCCCTGTTGAGGGCGGCCTGCTTCTCCGCGACCTCGCTATCGCCGGCCCCCGCAGCTACCTTGGGCTTCGGCATGCGCCAGTTGCGGAACAGAAGCCCGCCCATCGCCTCTAAGACCACCTGCAGGGTCCGCGCCGAGTTGAAGGTGTCGGGGCGGTAGTCCACGACGCAGGGGTCGCCCTCGACGATCTTCTCGAGGATGGTCGACATGTGCTCTCCGCCGCCGAGAAACGCGAACACCTTCACCACCAAGCATTCATCGCCAGGCAAGGACTTCGACACGTGCATGCTCATCGCGCAAGGGACGTCGTTTTGGCCATCATCAGAAATGCTGAGAGGCGGGGGCAAGCTGTTGCACCTACCCTCGGCCATGGCCTCCTTGACAGTCTCCCAGTTGACACCCGAGAGGTCGCCGCAGTTTGTGTTGACGTCGATCAAACCCTCGATGGAGCGCCTCGCGGAAAAGTGCACTGCTGGATGGGGGGGGGTCCCGGGCGACAGCGGCGCCCGCCTTGTCCACGTCCCCATCCACGTTGGGCTTTGCCAGGACGTCAAGCACGGGCATGGTCTTCGCCTTGTTCCAGTCCGCAACCATGGCGTCGTTGGTGCGCCCCTCCTTCCCCATAGCACCCCGAAGTACCCCATGCCGCATGCGGGGAGGTTGGCGGCCTCCGCCGGGCATGCTCTCGGCATAGCGGACGGCGTGGAAGCGCGCGAGGTCACGGGCGAGCGCGGCGACTGATCTCTGAGCCTAAACGTGCGCGGTATTATTGTTGGGGGGAGGGTTGGAAGCGAGACGGGGGGGGCGGCGTCCGGGGCGATCGCAAGCAGGAAGAACAGAGCTGGCAACGCCTGCCCGCCAGGAGAAACGAACTCACCATCGCTTCAATATCACAGCTTTTCTCACTGAGCTCCGAGCGCGCGCGCTTCGAGCTTTCATCGCCTAGCCGATTTATAAATGCACGGGGCTAAAGCCATGCCCTCGCACCCCGCCCGCGCCTCAGAGACGGCGGCGCGCCGACGCGCGCAGGCCGAACGACGGGCCCGCGCGCGTTCGGTTGGAGGGCTGGTCGCCGTCGGCATCGAACAGCGCATAACGGTGGCGAGGCAGCGAAAGCGACGCCATCACCATCCTCTCCATGACCCCCCAGGTCGTCGACCACGGCGCCTCCGCCGCATGGGTCCATCCTGGGACATCGCGGCACGTGAACGTCACAATACACGCGCGGTCCTCAGTGCCCACCGCAGGGCGACATCGCGCATCGCAGACGTGCCGGCCACTATCCGCTGCAGATCGATCGGGCCGATCGCAACGAGCATCGTCGATCTGCAACTGCCCGCGCCAGACCGATGCGGCAGATCGCAGACGGGGATAGATCTGGCGATCGCGGCTGGCGAGGCGAGCGCACGATTTTCGTGGCCGATGCAAGTGGCCACAACCTCGGCGTACATGCGCGGGCGGACGATCGCATTATCGAGCGCGAGATCGTTCGACACCCGCAAATTGCCGCCGAAGCCGGGAGCAAAGCACTGGTCGCCGCTGTCCCGCATTTCAATGTTCGCGGGCCACGCGCACACGTTGAACCGATCCTGGGGCAAAGGCAAACGTGCTTCCTCATTGCCGAAATCAGGAGATGGTCGGTGGCGGGAGAGGGGCCCTCCAAAAACTTAGTTACCCCCCGCCCTCACGTCCTCCCCATCAGCCACGCGCTGCGCCTGCGTGCGCCCCACCCTGCGCCGCGCTGCGTCTGGCGGCAAGACGTGGCCAACGTGGCCAGGCATGGCGCGCGGCACGACGGCGTACTCGAAAGCCCTGGGTAGAAGACTGCCGCGAAGAACTTTGATGGGGGTTGAGCACCCTGCGGAGGCCTGGGCGCTAGCGGCAACGGGGGGCACCAGCAGAAGCAGCAGCAGCTCTCTCTCCCTCTCTCTCTCTCTCTCTCTCTCTCTCCTTGTCTCCCTCCCTCTCCCACTCTCTCTCCCTCTCTCTGGCGCATGTGCGCAGTGGGGGGGCCGACGGCGACGAGTCAACGATGGATGCGACTGCGGTGAGACACATCAATGGGGGGTCAGCCACGCGCGTGCGGACATACTCGGGCACTCTGAGGGCGCCCGATCATAGCGGGCGGTTCACAGCAGCGGCGAAAGCGTTACCACGCATTCTAAGCATATGCTTATATAGGTCAGCGGAGCGTCTCCTGTGGACGCGCCACGAAAGAGATACGCTATCCAGCGCCACGCAGAAGCAGCACGATTCGGAAACACAACATAACACTCGTGTGATATACTGTGTTTCCGAGTTGTGCCGCTTCTGCGTGGCACCAATGGGATGTTGGGTCGTGGTTCTTGTGTGTGTGTGTGGTTTTTCGGCACCATGGTCATCAGGGCGTTTTTTTTCTTGCTGTGTTGTTCCGTGGCTCGGCGGACCGCCGTGCGGACTTTGTCAAAGGCCGCGCGGCGGAAGGTCGCCACCAGCTCCTTGGTGCGTGGTTGTTGAAGGAACGCGCGAAGCCTTTTTGTTTAGCTTGGTATTATATGTTTTTGTTCCCCCGTTTTGTTTGTAGGCGGCTTCTGTATCTGTTGTTGGGTTGCCCATGGCTCCAAGCCGTGGGTTTTGTAGCGGGGCGTTGGGCCTAAACGCCCATGTTTGCCCGTGGCGCAGGTTGCATGCGATTGCTTCCCCTTTCCATGTTTTTCTGCCATTCCATGTTTCATGATCTTCCCATTATTGTTATCCTCCCTCCTCCTCCTCCTCCTCCTCCTCCTCCTCGTCGTCATCGTCCTCGTCCCCCCCTCCTCCTCCTCCTCCTCGTCATCCTTCTCCTCCTCCTCCTCCTCCTCCTCCTCTTCCTCATCATCGCCCCTCATTCCTCGCTCGCCGCTCGGACACGAGCTGGTCTATATACGGCTGTCGTCTGGTCCCAATCTTGTATTTTGCAGGCGGTGTGGCGCCTACAGCACAGAGCGTCTCAGCCACCAGTTGGAAAAGCAGTGTCGTGGATATGTTGTATCCTCTGCGAGTAAGTGCCGCCTCAATCGTATGCTCCGTGGTCTGCACCCCCAGTCCAATCGAGCTGCCCCAGGCGTTGTGCTCCATATCTAAAGTGGTGCGGGGCGACAGAGGCTTCTGGATACCCTACAGCGCCCCCAGCGTGCTGTGTGGTTTCAGCGCCCATCCGATGATCTTCCAGGCAGCAGTTTAATCCCAGGGCTGGAGAGGTTGACGCAGCGGATAGCAGCACGAGGGGAGGCGGCAGGTTTTCAGGATCATGTTTTGAGGGCTCCAGAGCAGCAGCGATCTGCTCAGGAGCCCCGCCCTGGGATTCAGGGGCACGCCCAGGAACCGTTTGCTCCAGAGCTTGACCTTGAGGCTGAGGGGGAGGCCGCCAGCTTCCTCCATGGATAAACAGGTTTGAGTTCCCCACTGCGGGGCAAAAAAAACTCATCATCATCATGATCACCATCATCAGCATCATCATCATCATCATCATCAGCATCATCATCATCACGAAAGGAAAGGGGCACGAGCGGCAGCAGCATGCGAGGAATACGATGAGGGCGACGCCTACGAAAGAACGAATAATAAGCAACATAAGAAGATGAATAATGCGCTGCGTACGAAGAAAACTAAGACAACGCATAGGAATGCTGATACGAAGAAGAAAAATACGAACATACGAAACTGTATGATCATGTGTGCGTGGGGGGGGGGGCGAGCACATACACACACACATATGTATATATGTATACATATACATATATACATATATACACACATGTATATATGTATATATAAGCATGCCCACTCGATGTGGTTGTAAATATTTGTCATGTGGGAAAAAAGCGTGTTCTACCGCTGCTGGCGGAAAACCGGGGGGGGGGTCAGTGGGGGGTCCCAACCTGTTCCCCCCTCGAAATCCGGGCGGGTCACTACTGGTTCGAACTGCCCCCTCCCCCCCCAGTCCTTCATGAAAAGGGGCGGGTCACTACCAGTCCGCCCCCCCCCCTCTCGCCGCCGGCAAACGATTCCCGCTCCTCGGGACATTGGGACAGTGGTGGGGACAATGGTGTGTGAACAGTGGGACAGTGTGATGACGGTGGTGGGACAATGGGACAGTGGTACCGTGGGGAGAGTGGTGGGGACAGTGAAGACAGTGGGACAGTGGTGGGGACAGTGGGGACAGTAGGACAGCTCAGTGGGGCAGCGGCGGGGACAGTGGGGACAGTGGGACAGTGGTGGGGACAGTGGGGACAGTGGGACAGTGGTGGGGACTGCGGAGACAATGGGGAGAGTCGGACCGTGGTGGAGACAATGGTGGGAACAGTGGGGACAGTGAGACACTTGTGGTGGTACTGGTGGACACAATGGTGGGAACGGCGGGGACAGTGATGGTGACAGTGGGACAGTGGTTGGGACGGTTGTGCTGGGGGCAGTGGTGGAGGGACAGTGAGACAGTGGTGGGGACAGTGGGACAGTGGTGGGGATGGTGGTGGTGGCGGCAGTGGTGAGGGCGGTGGCGAGGACGGTGGTGGGACGATGGGACAGTAGTACAGTGGGGACAGTGGCGGCGACAGTGGGGACAGTGGTGGGAATAGTGGGACAGCTCAGTGGGGCAGCGGCGGGGACAGCGGGGGCAGTGGGGACAGTGGGACAGTGGTGGGGACGGTGGGGGGAGTTGGGCAGTGGTTTGGACAGTGGAGACTGTGGGGAGAGAGGGACCGTGGTGGGAACAGTGGTGGGGACAGTGGGTGCAGTGCGACAGTGATGGGGGCACTGCTGGGGACGGTGGGGACGGTGGTGGGAACAGTCGGGACATTGGGACAGTGGTGGTGGGGACGGTGGTGCTGGGGACAGCGGTGAGGGCCTCGGTGAGGACGGTGGTGGGGACCCGGGAGTCGTTTGCAGGCGGTGAGTGGGGGGGTTGGGTCGGGGGGGTTCGACCCAGTACTAACCCCCCCGATTTTTTGTAGAGGGGTGGGGGGGGGATTCGAACCGGTAGTGACCTCCCCCCGGTTTTCTGGAGGGGGTGGGGGAGGTGGTTAGGGGAAGGCGGTTTTACCTGAGGAAGGGAGGGGGGGGGTTCGAGCAGGGGGGGGATTTTGGAGGGGGGTGGCGGATCCGGGTTCCAGAGGAAGAGGGGGGGAATTTTCCAAAGTAGAGCGGAGGTAGCACACACATACATAGATTTCTTCTCTCTCTCTCTCTCTCTCACACATATGTACATTCATTGATATCGCCCAAACCATCCATGAGGCTGGAATATGAGGCTGCAAGGTATGTCGACCGCGCCAAGTCAAGGGCACCCCTGAGCCGAGGAAGCAGGAACCAGAGGCATGCAACGGCCCCTTGCTGCGAAGGCTCATCCTTCCACCCGGTTGTGACTGCATGCGGTTGTCGTCGTTTTATCTTCGCAGCCGTTTGCGGCTTCCAGTGTGTATAGTTCCGCGGGGCGGAGCGGATCAGGGGCTCTTCCATCCCGCCCCGAGAAGTGTTTGTGTGTGCAGCGAGGGAGGAGGAGGAGGAGGAATAGTGCACAAGGAGGCGGTGCCTCGGGACATGACTACTCGAGTCTCACACCTCGTCCAGCTCCGAGTGGCTGTTTGCAACGAATTGGGCGCGCACGGGCACTGTGCGTAAAGACAACGTGCGTGGGCATGCGGGCCTCACTCCCGATCTGAATACTCGGGGAAACGTAGAGTGGAGTGGGGTGGCCCCAGCTTGGGCAAGGGAGCGAACCCAGCTCAAGGCCGACATCCCTCCTCCTGGGGCCGTCTGGAGCGATGTTCCTCTGACCGCACCTCTGGCCCTGCCCCACCTGTCTGCCACCCCGACATGGCGCGTCGGTCCTAGCCCCATGCAGCTCAGTGCAGAGCGCTCTTGCTGAAGCTCGTTCGGGCCAGCTCGTCGTGCGCAGCTCCAGGAGAGGTGCTGCGGAGGAGGTTGCGGTGATGCCATGGCGGTGAGGTGGGTTGCGCAGGATGGCAGGCCTCACCGGATCACCCAGGTGGCAACGTGATCAGACGACGGCTTCCAGTTGGGAACGGAAGGCGTTCCCAGACGCGGCGGTCGAGCAATGATCTATTGACATGCTGCTGACCCAGCCGAGTTGCGATCACGGCATTCCCCAGTCAGGCTTGCTTGAGGGATTTGTTATTTCGTGCAACGGCAAGTTGTATTGAGTACATCGCGAGGTTGGCTCTTCGTGTCTTGGATGTCGGTTCCTGGTCGCTAGCTTTGCTTTTCATGATGATTGTACTGCGTTGCTGTCCCCTTGACTTGGTTTGCTGCGCTATGCGTTGTCAAGCAATGCTGTGATGACATTTGCGACTTTCTGCTATGCTCGACCAGGCAAAGCCGTGCTGACGCTACGTGATGCGACGCCATGTCCTGCACCCGAATGCAATGTCATGCTGTGCTCACTACGCAATGCAATACCATCCTGTGCAGTGCAATGCTATACCATGCTTGCTGTGCAGTGCATCGCTCTGGTATGCTTTGCTAATCGTGTGCGCTGCTTTGTGTTGTCACTCTTGGCATCGCAGTGCTAAGCAGTATCATGTACGGATAAGTGTTGCGACGCCATGGAAGG